TCTACAACAGGCAGTTGCTGTCCATTTGAAACTGCCCCCCAGTGGCACAGCGGTATGTACTGCGGACTTACAACGCTAGAATCCGGGTTTCGATACCCGTGGTGGGCAGAGCACAGATAGCCCTTGTGTAGCTTTGTGCATAATCAACAACAAACAAACCATTTGAAACTTAGATTCATTATGAATACTCTGCCTATACAACCTATCAAATATTACTTATAGTTTTTGATTGAGCAAAACCACAACAATGACTTTTAACAGGGGAATGGCCTTCATTATTTTGATATTACATCTGTATTTAGAGATTTTCTTTGGAAAATTATATTTTTCTCAAAAATCAAATATTCCATAACTTATTGTTAACAGATCACAGGATATTGTGATATAGAGATATGGTATCCGTTTGGCGAGTATTAACATGCAGATGAGTTTGTCAGTGTAAGATAGGAGGTTCAAAGAATTTGACAAGTTGAAGTTGAATAAAGACTTGTATCACAGAAAAGAACCACAGAATGCGACACTTAATAAAACGATATATCTTTCATCTTTTAGACTACAAAAATTGAAGATTTCAAGAAAACGTAAATAAATAACAAAACAAAACTGAATTAAATATCTGTTTTTGTTTTTTACTTTACTCGATCAACTTACAAAAAACAAAAGGCAAGTCAATTTTAGACTAGTCTAGACTCTCTGAAGACCCGAATAGAACTAATTTCAAAGTTCAACCTATCCCATGATCAGCTTCACATCCTAGATCCAAGCCAATCACATCTAGGCAAACCTTCCGATGTGACCGTCAGAATGGTAAACAGACAAAGCCAGCTAAACAGACCAATGAGAAGACAGAAACGGTTTAGACTGGCATCAACTATGAAGATGATAAACCCTAAGATCATGATTTATCAGTCCAAACCAGACAAAATATAGAAAAACTCTAAACTAGTTTATAATATGAACATATCACAGTGATATATACTTTACGTTATATTAAATACCTTCCTTTGTTGTTGATGTGTTTATTTTTTTACTTTCAACTCATGTTTATGCTTGCAGCACTTATTAGTTCGATACTCGTTTCGAGAAGCTAGTAAGATTATCGATGGCTGTGTTGGTTTTCTTGTAATAGTAATTAACTACCTACGCACGTGAAATACCCTTATACATTTCGGAATATAAACTTATTTACTCTAAAATCTAGTCGAGGCTCAGCGTGTGAAGTAAACATTACCGAAAATTAGATTATTACAAGTGAATCCATTTTAATGGCTCAAAAGTTCAAAAGGAACAATATTAAAATTAAGAGCTTATCATTTAAGATGAAATTAAGTTCATTTATCAAAACAGTGCGGCTTAAGAGTACTTTTTAATTTATTGTTTTAGAACATTTTCTTATCTCATAAGCGCCACTTTGGAGCTCTTCTTCTTTAAGCATATTTTATAAATAAACGCGGAAAGATCAACACCAGAATTGACAGCTCTACAACGGTATTTTAAACGATAGAAACTACTCTACTCTCGAACCACTCATAAGCACGCCTTGCGAAGTTAGGAAGTTTTTTGAACACCCTTTTAATTCATGGCCCTAGGGTGACTTAAGTAATCTTGGCTTTCATCAATGTTTTTGCAACTGAATTTCATATCCACACACTTTGTTTTTATTTTTTCTGATTCACCATTAACTCTGAGTTGGATTACTTGTAGTGTTGTTTTTCTCAGTCACTATTTTTCCCTCCATTTCTTACGCCTCGTTTCAGTTCTGGATTAAATAATTTATACGTCATTAACATAGCCTTGCAAAACATATATATATATATATATCTTGTTTTTTTTAAATACACATGCAAGTCGTGGATAAAATTAGTTTTACTTTCTTTGAAACCACAATAAGATAAGACAAAAAAACTAAAATCGAACAAAGTAAAC